TAGACCTGAGCCCCAGTATAGGGTCACAGCTTGAACCTGCTCTGCATGAGTCATCAGAGCTGGTAGTTTGACTTCTTCCCTCCCCATCCATCTTAACCCTCCATCGCCACACCCCTAGCCAAGAAAGAAACACGGAGGTGCTCCCCTGAATTGATTTGGACGCTGTTGAATGGGGGCAAGCTTGGTTCCGTCCTTGACTCGACAGCTCTCAAAACCTGCAGCCTCCGCCATGTCTGGCCCCGAAACTGCAAGCTTTGGACCTAAAACCCTGACCCCTATTTCTGGATCTCGAAAACCCCCTTTGTCCGAGCCCACCACCAAACTCCCCAGCAATTTTTGCTTAATCGCTCTTCTGACAGGATTCGTTCGACCTGAAGATCATGGGTTTGGATGGAAAGCCGCTGAGCTGAGGGTGTATACGAGTGCGCATATGTGAGTGTCTCTGTTTGTTTGTTTGTTTGTTTGTGTCTCTCTGTTTGTTGGCGTGCAAGAAGGCGCTAGGTTTATTCATACCTGTTTTCGTTACAGTCTAAACATTTGCATAGATGTAGATACGTATGAGCTGTCTAAGGGAAGTTTATGTCTTCGTGTTGTTGACTAATGCATTAAGTTGTCATTCATGTCCTAAAGAACCTTTTCTGACATCTGCAGGTACAGAGACTTGCATCTTGCGCAAGGGCATGTCCTGCATTTCTACACTGGCTTCCGTTTGCACCGTGTCATGCCTCGTCGAACGAGACAGAAACTAGACTCCAAGGAACCACCGGTTTGTCCGGACGAACCTTGAGAAGGACATCGTGCCTGCAGAGTCCAGCTTCAGGGTGAAGAAGAACCACGTCATCATCACCCTCCGCAAGGCGCCACATCTTGAGCTAGTCCCGGTGACTGGACTCCATGCCTGTGGTGATCCTAGCATCTGCAAAACACGGCTTTGCCAGATCTGGCCATGTAAACCTGAGAAACATGTTCACAACCTTGCACCCTTTGCTTCTGCCTGCGGATTTTTGGTGAAGCCATGGGTATGGCAATGACTCCAAGCGCCGAGTATGGCGCCCGTCACAATTCCGGCAAGATTGAATTGAAATCCCCAAATCTGAATCTCGATAGCTTGTACACACATACCCCTGCATGCGAAAGTTTGAAAGGTGGTATGGTTCAATGCCACGCCCCGAGCCTTCGGAATCGAAAGGTGCACATAAAGCCAGGCAGGAAGTTTATGCAGGTGCCAACGGGTGAAAGTGAAAGCCAGAACCCCCGCAGAAAGGCATTGAATCCCTTGTAGCCTGCCCTTCTGAGCCCGAGCCTTGTGAGATTAAAGCGGAGCTGAACGGAGAATGCACATAAACATTTGGCAAGAAGGTGCTTTCTGTAGGTACGACTACTAGGTACGACTAAGGGTGCTTACTTGGCCTTCCAGCATCCCACCTTTGCAGCGCTTCGAAAGGTGAAGGGCGAGTATGGCTACGACTCCTGGGTGGACCTTTGCGCCAAAGGCAAGCGAAAGCCCACAGCTTCGAAATCGGAGAACCCACAGGAGCCGAGGGGGTCTACCTTTGTTGCACCAGCAGATCATCGTCGCAGCCCTTTGCCATCTGCACGTGTGGTAATATGTAAGAGCAGTCATCGTACTCGTAGGAATGGTAACGGATATGACCATTCCAACCAGATCTGATCCTCTCTAGTCGAGATAGCTCTTGGGATCGTTTTAGATGGTGTAGGCCACGGAGTGTAGAGAATAGAGAGGTTCAACAAGCAGTGTGAAAGGCGGAAGGCCTATGGACACCGCGTCATCATAGAGTTGAAGGAGCAACCTACCCTATGAGTCCAAATGCTTGATTATCATATACTCTCCAAAACTGTAACCTACATAACTAGATGTCGCATTACTGCCGAGAAACCCCCTGTCCAGTTGCTAGTGACAAGAAAAGCTTACATAACTACTATGCTAAACCCGGGTAGCTAGTAGGGCTATAGGTTCCAGGGCTAAGGGCATCAGTGTTTTGAGAGCGCTGAAGGGTCAGGATCCTACAGTTCCTTCAATTAATTTAGCTAGTCTCGCCAGGAGTACATACACGCTTCTAAAGCCTTCAGAACCGCAGCACACTACCTTTACACTAAGTGAAGCCCGAGGGGCGGCGTACGCAGGACAGCATCATGTCCATGATGAAGGATCTCTACGACGAAGGCTGGTAGTTGTCGAAGTGAGGGGTATCCTGTACTATCAGGACTTCCCGTTATTAGGTGTCAACCCTGGAATCCTTCATGTTCTGAAGTCCGCAGGTGATGACAGCATGAAGAAGATCATCGGCGAAGCAATGTACAAAGCCAGGCAAGCAGAGATAGCCCAAGATTGCTTGGGACTGTCTGCGGCCTAACATGTCTAATAGGGCCAAGAGATATGGTCTGCTAAACGTGGATATGACATGACTTGAAGGGCTATTGTCACCAGTCGTCCTGATCTTTTAACTACTGATTTTTACATCGACACAGATCAGTCCCCATCAATATTCCTCGCTTCTGCAGAGCTCGAATGATATTCATGGCAGCTGCAGTGCGAATGCTTTGCATGGTTGGCTTTAGCGTTCCTGCTGATTATAATACTCGAAGCCCTCGAAGCCCCAGCCTAGTGGATGCCTCTCTCTCGTTAGTGGCCGCGTCGGTCCTCTCTGCTTTGGAGTGTCGTGTAGGGCTGACGAGGTGCATCGAGGCAAGCCCACGATCGGTTGCAATCCGAGCGACCTATAATAATAGTAATAATATTAATAATAATAATAATAATAGTAGTAATAATAGTAATAATAATAATAGTAATAATAATAGTAGTAATAATAGTAATAATAATAATATTAATAATAATAATAATAGTAATAACAATAATAATAATAATAATAATAATAATAGTAATAAGAATAATCATAATAACAATAATAATAATAGTAATAGTAAAAATTATTATTATTATTATTATTATTGCAATCCGAGCGACTTAAAGGGAGACCACCCTCGACCCAGCCACCAACCTCCCAACCGAGGCATGATCCCGAACCCGAAACCTCCTCTGCAAATCCACGAAAACCATGAAGCCTTTAAACTTTCTCAACCCAAAGACCCCGGAGCCACCTCCTCCTGAAACCTCCTAAACACCCCGACCCGGAAAGTTCTAAAGCCCTGAGCAGGTCCGGCGAGAAGACAGACCTGAAGGATCCCCCGAAGCCCTCCCTTGACGAGATGGAGCTCTAGTGACAAAGCCTGCGTAGCTGTAGCTGTACAGAAGAACGCGGAGGCATCCCGGGCAGATTCGAACCATTGTTCCGTTACGAACCAAGCCGACATTGCCCACCAAGAGGTTAGCATGGCATATGCCTTTGCCCCAAAACATCCCAAGTCCTACTTGCCAAGCGGGCATGCTGACAAAGGTGGCTGCGTGAGAGAATGTAGGACTGTATCGAGGACACAACCTGAGAGTTTAACCCTCAATCAAGCTTCACTGCCTGAGAATTCGTGGGGTTGCATCCGAAGAGTTCCATGCAGACAGTGAGTCGCTCAAGACGACATGCGCTGTCCCACGAAGATGCGGGAATAGGCTTTTCTGGGGTCTTGTCTTTGACACATGAGCTTTGGTAACACATCTCCTCCTGTGTTTGTTTGATTCCATCGGCAGGACATCGATTGAATGAGTCGAGAGTCGAGACCCTCAGAAGGAAACTCTTTAATTCCACCAAAGACCAACCAATATAGACAAGTGCGCCAGCGCAAAATGTTAGAGCCAACAGCTTGTTGCTCGGAGTCTTTTGTAGGAGCCTCAATTCTGAGCTATGCTATCCCTGTAATTCTCTATATGATCCGGATTTCATACAACCCCAAACTCTGTTGAAAATAGCAATAATAATAACACTATATAACCCTGGTAAGAAGAGGAGAAGAAGAATGAGAAAGGCCCCGCGTAATCGGCCCCAAGCATGCAGGTTCGGAAGTTCGATTGCTCGTGGGAAGAAGCCCTCTTAGATCCAGATGCAGTTTGGGTTTTTAGACGGTTTAGGGTTCATGATTTAGGGTTTAGCCTCGGTTCCTGGTATATGCGTAGTCCAGGTGTAAAAAGGGTTTTGGGTTTTGGATTTTTAGGGCCAGTAGCCTGTTTGACTGCGTTTGCCATGATTGGTGGAGCCCAGTCGGACATGTGCAGGCCGTGCAGCATTTGGACGCTGCATGACAGCATAGCCCCTGTATAGGTACTTGGACAACCGTAGCTGTTCCACTAGCATGCATGAGATAGCTATCGAAACCCAACTTGCTAAGCATGCTGCCATCGGTCTTGTGCAAGACTCAGCCTTGTCTTCCCGTAGCTAACGAATTTGTTTGTGTGTGTGAGTTGTGTTTAGTGTGTGTGTGTGTGTGTGTGTGTGTGTGGTGGTGTCTGTGGGTTTGTGTGTGCGTGTGTGCGCTCGTATGTGCGGCTGGTCCGTGCACCTGCGCGTGTGCATGGGCGAGGGTTTTTTACTAAGTTGAGGTCCTTTGTTTCGGCCCCTGACTCCATGGTTGTGTCTTTGGCGTCTTTGCCTTTGACTTTGGTTCTGAGCATTCGTAAACGTGGCGGTTGGGGCGCAGCAGGATTGTTAATGCTGCTTTTGTTTGTTTTTACTTCGTTGTTGTTAGTCCTTTCATGACCACTTTTCTTAGTTTGATGGTGCCCACTGTTTGTCTTTAAGTACCGGCTTCCGATTGCTACTCAATGACTATGTTACCAGCAGATATTCCAATGTTGGTTCCTTATCCCTGGCTGTTCTTATGTATTTGAAACTACCCTTGGTACTGCCATTTTTCAAACTAAACCGCCGAAAACATGCCTCGCCTGGATTGCCCGAGTGCGAGCGCCGAAACCCGAAACACTATAAACCCTAAACCCGTAACCCCTAAACCCTATACCCTTAACCCTAAACACTAAACCCTAAACACTAAGCCCTAAGCCCTAAACCCTTTTGGGGAGTGTCGTTGCTGCAGAGGAGCTCAAGAGCCTCGGCGCTCCGGTAGCTGCGAGCTGAGTTCAGCACCCTGCGATGTGGGTTTTACCTATAGTCTACTGTAGGGGCCTAAAATAATTGCCTATACTATTTTGGGGGATGTGGGTTTTACTTCATATTATAGGGGCCTTAATAGTCAGTCACCAATACTATTTTTTGGGGTTCCTCATTTTAGTTATAGTATAATGGGACCCCAAAACCCTATTCTAATTGTTGAGGCCCCTATATTAGAGTGTTTGGGCGTTTAGGGCTGGGGTCTTGAGGTTTCGGATTTAGGAAAGAGGGTGGTCTAGGCTGGGCTAGGATTTTAGGGCTGTAGTTCTGGGCTTACCAAAGCGTTGATGTATACAGGAGGTGCACCACTTTTGAGATAACCTGGTTGGTCAAAGAAATTAGATTGACAGTTTGTGGCGTCTGTCCCAAGATCAACGGGGAGCTATGGATGCACGGAAGTAAAAGCAACTGAAAACCTGGTCCTGTGCAGTGCAGGGGGCTCACGTTGATTTGTTCCTTCCTTGCCGCCTGACAGTTCAACGTTTCTCGAATGCGGTTTCAAGGAGAGTAACAAGCCGGGTCGTCTAGGCATGATTCAGGCAGGATGGGTCTACTACAGGTTGTCGTCGCTTGCTGTTGGCTTAGGGCCGCAGGGATTCCGAGAGTCAGCCGGCTTTAAATCGTTTGGGAGTCCGCCATATCTTGGAAGGATGCTGCCAAACCAGAGGTTGAGATAGAAAGAGATAGAGATTGAGATACGGAGAGTCACGAGAGTAGAATGACTGAGTCGAAATCATGATGGTCATTTTGAGTCATTCCCAAACTGGAAAAGTTTCCAACCAGATGTGTTTCCGCAGTTAAACCGTTGAAAGCGCCAGCTTGTGTTAGTGAGGCAAGAGCCAGAACAGTACCAATACTAGCTAACGTTCTAGCCTGATCAAGAAACTCACGGTTCTCATGCGGCTCTTGGCATAGATCCTCTCACCATGGTGGTTTAGAGCTGCGCACCTTCGATTGTGCAGCGTGCTTCCCTGCACAGATATGCGGCAATGGAGAAAGAGGGATAACGAGGGGTACAGAAGAAGACAAGGCGTCGGGGCTTACGGGCAACTCTGGATACCGGATTTGCTCCGGAGCTCTGGGTTCGTTTGAAAGCAAAAGGTCAGCATTCGGAGCATCCTACTAGTAGTACGATACGGATCTTGTCTCATACTGCCAAACAACACAGAGCTGCAGGTTTGCTGTGCTGGCTCCTTTGAAGGCTTCCTTACCTTAGCCTGCGATGTGCCCTGGCGCTTTGGGCCCGTCGGCAGAGTTTGTAAGCCTGAAGTGTGGCCTTGGAGTTCATGGGGATGGCAGGCATGAACTGGTTGCGATTATGCTGACAAGTTTTTCGGCGGTGTAGCCAAACCGTCTGGACTTTTTGTCCCATCACGACGCGTGAACCAGAGCATCGAAAGCATTCGCTGCACCAAGTTCCAGACATCGGGGCGGCCTTTGGGATTGTTTTAAGTAGGGTCTGGGTCCGTGGTTGCAGTTTTTTTATCACACGTATAGACAACACCGTAAAGCCAGACTTCAAGCATCCATTGCAGATTGATTTCTTACGGTTTGATCAACTATATAACCACCACCTACGGCAGAGTCGAATACACAACACAACCGAACACATATTGCAACAGACGCCGAAAATACCAACAGGCTTCATGAGCACTTGCTTGAGCTTGGCATGTGGTGTGATTTGTTTACAGATTTACAGTGCTATTAAGCCATGAAGGCTGATTGAGACAATGGAAACTATTGCTGAAAGCCACACTGTCAGCCATTCCTGTAATTAGCCTTTATCATCATTTTACGCTGTTGCCGGATGCCATCTTCAAGCATGTCTCCAGACTGTTTCCCAACCAACTCTTCTTTGGCAACTTACAAACCCCAACATTGGCATACACTTCGAAAGCCTTTGCCAAGGCATGGCCGCTTGCGGCAGACGAGGCTCTTTCGAGAACTTCGGCAGGTTGTCAAGCTTTGCCTTGGTGTAGCCTTCACCGTTTTAAGGGTTTAGGGTTTAGGCTTTAGGGCTTTAGGGTTTAGGGTTTAGGGGTTTAGGGTTTAGGGCTTAGGGGTTTAATGTAGGGCTTCACTGATTCGTCTAGGGTATTTTGGCGGCTCATTCTACTTTACAGGTTTGGGTGTTTTAAGTGTCTCACGTTACAGGGGAAATCTTTTGAGAGGGTACCGCGCGGCTACGAGGTTATACATATATATACATATATATATACACATAGAAGCATATGTGCAAAAGCATTTTTTATTTATAGGATGTAGGCTTTTGGTTTGCAGAAAGGCCCGACAGGCACTGAGCGCAGAGAGCATCGAGGCGCACAGGCTTCAAGATCCAGCGGGGAGATCCACATAGTGGCAGCCCTATCACCGGTGTTTCCGCCGCCAGAGCCCGGCTGTTGTGGGGAGGCGCCTCCTGCTGACACAACCGGCGCAGGCGATGTTTACATTGCAGGCCTCCGCACATAATTTGACGTGTTGATGGGGCGTAGGATTGCGGGGTTGCATTATCAAACTGACCGGCGGACAGCACAGTGACAAATGCACATGTCGATCCAGCGATGCCGTTTCTCTTGTCCGCGCCAGCTCATGGAAGCGCCAATCCTAGTCAACCTGAGTAGTCAGGCAACGATGATGAGGTCGTTGGCGTTCATGTTGGCTTTCATACTAGTAGCTTCGCTTGTGGAGCAACAACGCCCAAAGGTTGTTCTGTCACAGGGGTCGTCTTGTGTATATAGTATATAATATAGACGTGGTCCACACACTTCCAATTGGCGCTCAGTTTTCGTGCTGTAAACCTTTGGCATGCTCGCCGGTACAACAGCTTGTGGACCTTACAAATCCTGGTGCATCCTGAACACAATCTGTCGGCGCGTGGTTTTGGATTCTACAGGTAGGGTGATCGTGCCGCGACATCGACCCGGCCCTTTTGGCCCAAGCTTTGCAACACCCGCGGAAGGGTGGCAGTGCATTGGCCAACAGGCCTCCTATGCAGTGGGCTGTAGCTTACATGGGACATGTCGGTCATGCAAATGGATCTTATACATCCAGGCTCAGGTTGCCCTCAGACTATCGCAAAACGACACACCTAGGTATAACAGGTCGAGACGTTCAAGTTCAAAGCCGAAGAAAGCCGGCAAGGCCCACAGAGCTTCGTCTGTGTGAGCACTGCCCCCGCGTCCACCTCTTCCAAGCTCGCCTTGCAGCAACTTCTAATCAGAGATCGACGGCCAGTTAAAGGGATCATAGAGTCTGCAGGCTGTCAGCATTCGTCATCCCGTATGGTCTCCTGTGGTCATTTTGTTAGGGAGTTATGCATATGTTCAAGTCACAATTCCCAAAGTCCTTCGTTTGTGGACAGCGGCAGGGCGACGCACAGGCGCTTAGGGTAGGCAGGCCTTGCGTGCCGGTCAGAGAACCCGGCCTGCGGGTGGACGCTGCCATGGCGCAGCCAGGACATCGGAAGCACAGGGCACAACTTTATCACATTTTGTCGATGTGCAATGATGGAGCGAGCAAGCAGAAATCTACGAAGCCGCCGTGTATGTACATGTATTCACGTTTGCCGGTGCTGCTTGTACATACACATACACAATAATGCACGCATGCGATCATACATGCATATGTATGCATTGCAATGCGCCCTAGCAGTCGCCCTAAGACTTCGTCCAGCTTCTGCGTGCTGTGTCGAGTGGGAGCTTAGACACGTCTGCTGGTTTAAATTGTGTCATGGGGCTCTTGATGCGAATCGCAAGAAATCTTCTACGAGTGCCCTGGCCGTGTATCGGAAAGAGCGCCAGATGACGAATTGTTATTCTGCGGGCTGGTGTTCTTTGTAAGCACATGGCGCAGCACGCGCTGCTGTTCTGGCAGTTCCTGATCCCTTGCAGTGCTAGCCACGCACATGCGGGTTGTACGTTGTTGCATCGCTCCTTTTGTCAATGTCTTTTTAGGGTTTATACTAAAGGGACCAGGGGCCTAAACAGTTAGAGGGGTCTATAAGGGCTACTATAAGGGGTATTATGGGGGTTTAGTATAAGGGCCGAAATGGTTACCAATGCTATTGTGGGGTTCCTGATGATAGTTATGGTATAATATACCCCAACACCCTATTCTAAAAATTGAGGCCTCTTTATAAGAGGTTTGGGGGAGCTTGGGCTATCTTGGGCTCTGGAACATGGAAACTCCCCAGTCCCGTCAGGAAATTCGCCTTATCAGAAGGGAGCTGGTTAGGTGTTAAGGAACGGTCAGTGTGTTGCGCTGGTAGGAGGAACGTTGAGTTTAGGAGTCCCTAAATATCCATTCTTCTGAAGATCACAGACACAGCAATGAGTCGAAAAGCCCCCTTGTCTCGAGACTCCGTTCCCTACCCTCGGGTCCCGCCCACCTCAAAACTCCTTCAACTCCAGATTTCCCTGATCTTCAAGGACTGCGGTCGCACCGCCGCGGTCAAGCCAGCCGCGAAGAGGCCATCGACTTAACCGCTATCGGGAATGACGGGTGGTTCATGACCGTCGCAACATAGGTCAAAATTCTCAGTACAATTATAGTAGGGTTTATCGTTATCATAACTGGAGTTCTAATAACAAGTATATCATAATCATCAGCAGAGGTAGCAAAAACAATCGTGAGATATTCCCTGAAGCACTCCCGACCTGTCATGAGCTGCTCTGGCGCTGACTCCGAGCTCGAATTTCGGTGCCTTTAGGGCGCTAGGGTCTAGCTTAGGGCCTTAAGGCCCTGGATTTATGTCCGATTCTTGTGCTAACTCTAGTCAGATCGCAAGTGGCCCAAACTAGGATAACACTAGGAAGACGAGTGGAATCCTGGTTTTTTGCAGGAAACAGAAATGAAAACATCGAAACACAGAAGAGACCTAGGACAAAACATAAAAAGCACACAGAAACACTGCCCGGACTCCCCGCGCCACTTTCCACCGTGGCTTAAGGTTCCAGAGCTTTTGTGTGGGATAGAGGATTCAAAGTTCAGGCTTTAGGGCGGCTAACTACGGGACGTCTGTGCGTCCGAGCCTGCTCAAAAGGGCTGATCCTCAGAAATCCGAAGCACGGAGTCCGGGGATCATCCGCTAGAGTTGGAACGATGCAGAGAAGATTAGCATGGCCCCTGCGCAAGGATGACACACAAATCGAGAAGTGTATCAAAAAGTGGTCTGCTTCGGTTGGAGTGATTCCTTCCCGCACTCCTTCCCACGTGGGAATGAACATGATGGGAATTTTGCGCTGCGCAGCACGCTCTTCGATGTCTCCCTTTTCCCCGCCCACTTTCCCTGCCTTCCTTTCTCCCTCCCTGTCCCTCCCCATCTCCATTCGCTCTTTTTTGTGTTCTCTCTTCGCCTCTGTCTCCGTCTTTCTCTCCCACTCTCTCTTTCTTTCCCTGTCTCCCCTCGTCTTAACTTCTTCTCGCCCCGATGCCGACTTTGTTCTCCTATATACGTTATATATATATATATATGTATAAAAAAGTATTGCCCAGCTTGTCTGCTGCAGTCTGATTGCCTTTCGGCCCACTCTCCGCTGCTTTTGCCGGTGAATCACTGAAGCGACAACTCTCTAGTGACTCTAGTGCATGGCCAAATTCTGTCACAGCGCCAGGCATCTGTACACAGCGACTTGACTGCAGTGACGACCGGAAGGGCTGGAGGAAATCGGTTCTCTGAAGGTTTGCTGCAGGTTGGGTTGGGCACAGAGTGCAGGGACGCTGATCGAAGTTAGGATATGCTTTTGGGTTCTTGGCAAAGGAAGGTCGTACAGTACTGTACTGATACGGATGCTGACTTTTCAACTATCTAAGTTCCTGGATCCACATGGAGAGTGGGTAACCTTTAAGCCTCTAAGATGGTCAAGGCCCGGGAATTGAGGGAGGGAGTCCTATGTTAGAGAAATGTAAGACTGCTGTGTTAGAGACAGGCGAACCTGGTCGAACCGCGAAGACAGCGTTCCGAAACCCTTTAGATTTGCTGAGCGAAACGGGAATGGGCACTTTACAAGTTTACGTGTAAGAATCACGAGTTTTGTGCCCGAAGCCCTGCTTTACACATCAACTCAGGTGGCAGGGCACAAGGACCCGCAAGTTAAGCTTCGAGGCTCCTGTTCACTTACAGGCTGAGGGTTTGGGGTGCCAGTCCAACTGAGATGAGCCGCAACAGTCACGGCAAAGCCACTGGAAGAACGGGCGCAGAGAACTCGCCGCCTACTGCAAGCCGAAAATGCCGTACTCGAGGCCTCCAAAGTTATCGCCCCACCATCAGCCTAATACTGTGATGGGAGTATAAAATCCCGCGAACCCTGTTCTGATGATTCGGTTTTTCCCAAAACAGACATCTTTGCGGAGGAGAAGCTGCACGCCGCGAGGTATCGGTGGATGAGTTGTTGGCAAGCAAGGGATGAGGGTGTTCGGTGCTAAGCCTAGGAGTCCTGAGGATCCTGCTGATGATTTATGGAGAGGATGCTGGTGTCTTTGCTTACCGCCTACATTCCAGGTTCGGGGTGTTCTTCAAAGTTTTGCCTTGAAGATTTTTGCTAAGTTTGCATTATGGTAGATCGGTCAGGCACGAAATTACTATATACGCTTGTCCTGAATCGTTTAAACCTGACTCCCTGCCGTGTTATCGCAGCCTCCCCTTGGACAATGACTTGAGAGGGCTTCAAATTCCAAAAGCCATCGCCATTCGTACACCTTCAGCCGGAAGCCTTACCGCAGGCGACATGGGCCTCGCGACTAAGCTTCGATAAGGACAACGGGGCGAGGGAGGGGTGTAAGGCGCAGAGATCAATCATGTGCAGGACGCATGTAGGCGACGGGAGAATCTGGAAATCAGTGCTGACAGTGCTACTCCCCCTGCCGTTGCTGCTACGACGACGACAACTGCTGCTACCATAACGACGACGACGACCACACCGCCACGCCGACGGCGAAATCGATTTCCCTAGCGAGAGCCGCAGATGTAAATGTAAAAACATAACGACGCGAGACAGTACTGGTAGACTCTTTTGCAGGAGAAGCAGCTGAAAGTGGCCATGAACGGCCTGGGCATAACCGACCAGGACAGCCTCAGTTTTTTGTTGTGCCAACTTGCAGCAAGTACAATCAACGGTAGAGGTCCGTGACAACCCCAAACACGAAGCTGATCATAGATCTTTCTTCCGAGGATTTCGGTAGGATAGGCCGTGGATTTCGGCACCCCTTTGAACCCTCAACGGCCAACATGCCCGGAAAGCCTTGCAAAGCAATTCTGTAGAAAGATACCCGTAAACCAAGCAGCCTGCAAGGTTCCCCCAAACCATGACACCCTTGCGATCCTAGCAACTGACGCCCTAAACAACCCCCAACATTGACCCAAAAATCTTAAACAACCTCATATAGCCCGCCCAAATGCTACAACGCAATACGCACGAAAAATGAACTTGTGCATGTGTGTGTATGTGTACATTTTTA